TTCTCCCACCTCTGAAGATATATAAGCCACATCTTACAATCATCCCCCTTAGTAATAAAACAGATATTTTCATCTCTATCCGTCCATCTTCTATGTCTTATTTTTCATTGATTCCAAATTCTGGAAGAGAAGAAAGGGCTGTTATTTACTGATTCCCTAGGACTCCAGTGAAGCCTTCTCTACAATGTAGGACCACTACACCTCAACCCCAGAAGCAGATCCCAGATCCCATGTGGATCCTATGTAACCACACTGAGCCAAACACGAAGGAACAATTTTATTAACTGACAGCATAATTCACACTCTACTCACAGGCTGTCCATTAGCCAGCACCTGAAGATGATGTTTTTCTGCTAGTATCACACACCAAGGACATTAAGCTGAAACTAAAAATAAAGTAAAACCTCGTGCTGGACCTGTAGATCTGCTCCAACCACTCCAGGTGAGGGGAGATTTATTCTCTCAAGGAATTAAGCCAAAGAAGCCATGATAGGCAGGACAGGTGATAAGAAACATTAGACTAAAGTAAAATTCTGTGCTTTGAACACTTGGTTCCATATCAGTTATCTAATGCTGTGTAACAAACAACCTCAGAACTTCGTGCCTTAGAAATGGCCACCATTTTCTTAGCTTACAAGTTGCTCAGCAATTTGGGATGGGCTTTTTGGGCTGGGGGCGGGGCGGGGGCCATGGATAAACTTCCACACATGCCTGGGCTCAAAAATTTCATTTCTTTTGTGAACACTCTCAGGTAATCCAAACTGGAGAGCAAAATAAAATAGGAACTTGAAAAAACACGGTATCCATCTTAGCAGAGTGGCAAAGCCCAAGATGATGGACAGCTGCTCAAAAGGCAGGCATAATATAAGTCTATATGGGATTAAGAGGGTAAGGGTTTAAAAAACAAAAGAAAAAAAATGAAAGAAAAGAAAGAAACCAAAAGGTTGTCAGACATTTTGTGGAGCAATTAGAGAAAAAATATTTATAGGTATATGACAACACTGATGAAAAAAATTAAAGAAATAATGTTCTGCATCAACATAATAATTTAAATCATATTAATCATAATGAGATAAATATTGACTACTGATTTAAGAAATTGGTGGCTGTGGGGAGATGTGTCAGATAAACCTCATTTACCAAAAATCAGGTGAATAGATGTATAAGGAAAACCCATCATTTCATATGATGGTTATGGAGCAAAATACCAGAAGACAGCAGCCCAAGAGTCGGAAAGGTTGCTTCTGGAAAACAGACAGGAGTATGAGGAGGGATGGGGCAAGTGACAACAGCAACTTATAAACTCTATAATAAACTATTAGATTTTCAGCCTTGACAAAAATAATGTCAAAACCTTTTTTAAACAATGCCTACCTCTGCATCCTAGGTTGGTATTAGAGAGGGAGCCTCCCCTCAGAGGACAGTTTCCAAAGTGCTAAGTGCCTGTTTGCATCCTGTCTCCTGGCTCCTTCTTACCCCGACCCTCCAATTGTCCAAGTCCATTTGGAAGTGAATCACAAGACACTTGTCCACGTTGTCCTGATAATGAATCGAGGTCAGTCTGGCCACTGGGTCTTGGGTTGATAGCTCTTCTGACTTGCCATTTCACCATGGAAATATGTAAAGAAAAATGCGCACAAGCAACGACAAGTACATCCAGTACTTGGCATGTCAGGTGTCCTATGGCTTGAGGCATGACCGTATACCAAACACTTACAGTAAACCAACCCTGGGCTGAATAGTTAGATTTATTACCTAGTTTTCATTATCTTAGGAGCCATGCACTACTGTCCTGTAGTTCAGATAAGGAAATTGACATTGAGGAAGGTTAACTGTTATGCTAGTAAATGACATAACCAGGAGTGGGACCCAGCTCTCCAGGCAATCCCAACCCTGAGCATATGACCACCCTACAGTGCCAACTTAGCCCTCTGCACCTGCTTCCACTGTTCTAGAGAGGTTACTACTGATGTATCGTCCTTCTACACACATTTATTTCAGTCAACTATTCCTTAACACTGACTGGCATGGGGGGGTTGGGCTTGGCCATCTTCCTGAGCTTGCAGTCTCACAGGACCTCACATGAAGAGGGACCTCATCCTTGGCTCAAATGCTCTGCCATCAGCATCCTGAAAATCCGAATCTTTTAACTTAGGCTTGTCAGTGAAGTCCAATGGGACAACGGAGCATGTGTGGGAGCATAATGGGCAATCTGTGTACCCACACAGTCCCTCGCCACCCTACTCGTACAGCCCATTGGCAATGCCCCTGAGCACAGAATTCAAGTAGACCCACAACGAGCCTAAGTGCAGCAAGACTCCAAGCCAAATACAAGTGTTAAGTCTGCAACCGAGTATCCCCGGATACGGACAGTCATAGGAGGACACACTTCCCATTCAAACCAGCACCTTCCTCAAGCACCACAAGAGAAATGACTGAGGAACTCTATCTTACCCCTTCTCACTCATGTTTCCTCTCTGTTAGCCACTCATCTAGGCTGGAATGATGACATAGAAGGAAAGGTCAGCCTCTGGTGCTTCTTTTCATTGTTGTCCTTACTCATCAGTAAGGTAGGGTATGGATGGACATGGACACACACACATCAAGAGGAGAAATAAAAATGGAGTTTTATGCAGCATTCCTGCTGTTCTGGCAGGAACAAGATACACGTACGGGCTACAAAAGGAGTTGTGTGATTTCAGCAATCCCATATGTGAGTTGGAAGCTCTCATGTTTACATTTAAAATGGACATTGCATGATATGAAAATGAATCGTAACATACACGCTAATAATTAAAATTTAAATCTTAGAGTAGCACTACCCAACAACACTTTAAAAGCCCTAAGTCAAGAGAGAGATCACTGAAGGAAGGAGAGCTTTTATATTTAGTGCCTATAATGGCACCTTCCCTCTGCTTCTGAATCAGGGGCCCCACAGATGATGTAGCTGGCCCCGGTGATGGAGAGGTGGGTCGTGATATTGAAGAGACCCCATGTTTTTAGGAAACAGACCCAGGAGGCCCCTATTTCTCTGGAATGGAAAGCAATACAGTCCTTTGGATTTGATTGTCTTTTTTTATTTCTCCCTTCCCACAACCAGTAAAAAAAGAAAAGAAAAGAAAAAAAAATTACAATCAACATGGGTACAAGGATCCAATTTAAAAAAAAAAAAAAAAAAAAAACAAAAAACAGTGTGCAAAGAGGGCCACAGCCCTGCCCAGGCTTAACGTACATATTTACAGGGCCTGTGGCCCTGGGTGCTGCTACAGAGGCACATTGAAAAGGCGGTATTACGAAATATACAAAGGTGCTTTCTTTCTATTTCATAGTAGAACCCGGCCTCATTTCCAAATGAGAGCACTACAAAACACAAATCACGCTACTACTTACCATATAACTTACGAATAATGCTGTACAGATGTGCGACTATAAATACACGAGTATAAACGGCTCTGTTTGGGACCTGGTATCTACAGGAGTTAAGGGTTAGAGGACGGCTCAGTTTGGCATCCCAACCTACTAAGTTGACACATAAGCCAGGATGGGGGAGAATGAGGTCTTGGGAGTGAGGCTGCACTGAACTCTCTCCCCCAGACCCCTCTGAGGCTCCCTCCCTTTCCCGGGGGCAGACCGGGAGTGTTCAGCGTGAGAAGCGGTGGAGGGAGTAGGTGTAAAGACAACAGACCACTCTCGAAGGCACAGAGAAGGCATCAGGAGCAAGGAGGAGCACAGCCCACGGACCCATAGCCACACAGACCCCTAATGCTACTTGATGATCACCGTTCTGGGGACTGTCGGGCCATGCCCTGGTTTCTGCCCTTTGAGAAAAAGGTTGGATCTCCGCAGGCATGAAGAGAAGGCAGGATATTGGAGCTTGCCTATCTATGGGAACGCGAGAGAATGTTTGGAAGAGTTTCTGGCTTGGATGGATGAATGGAAGCTGCCCACCAAAAAGCTGACCCACACATCTATCTTGCAGAGGGAGTGAGCAGGCAGACAGAAGCTACAATTGTCCCATGTCTTTCCTGGGATTCAAGGTGGCAGCAGTGGAGGGGATCAGAGGGGCTTCGGATCTTACTCCAAAAGACTCAACAAGGGCAATTTTATCTGATCAAGAGGGTAGCACTGGGTTCTAGCCTGATGGTCAATTTGGCTTTTAGAGTAGCCAAGTCAAGAAGAGCCCTAGGCTCTTGTACCAGATAAACCATCTCTACCCCAGTGCTCCCCATTCCCTAGCTCTCATCCTCCCAACTGCCCAGATCAGGACTTGGACCATTCACTTCTCAGAAAGATGGAGCCAAAAGGGGAACCAAAGTGCACCCTGAACCTCTTGGTAGCTCAGATGCAGCTAAAAACTTGGGCAAGGACACAGCAGGGAAGCTTAGGTGAGCCACACCTGTCTAGGTGAAGACACCCAACAAGGGACTTGGGGAGCTCTGGCAAAGGGTAAAGGCCCACCCTGTGGTCCTCACCAAGTCTCCACACAATTACACTATTCCCACACCCTCCCCACCCAAGGGGTCTGGTCTGGGGCAAGGGCTCCTGGGGACAACTGCTCTTGGCTGAAGCAAATCTTTGGTAAATAAGAGAGATGGCAGAGCGTTCTCACCATCACATACGCACGTAACATGTGCATCTTGGAGAACCTTCCATAAATCCCTCCCTCGGGGGTTTTTTGGAAGAGGACTCCTGGAGTCTGAAAAACGGGTTCTGTGGAGCCAGCCAGCTGGGCAGGGCTGGGCAGTGTGATCATCTGGAGCCATTCTCTGTCCCAGTCTTTCAAGATCACTGGGCACGTCTTGCAGGCGGAAGCTCGGGAGTCCGCAGGGAGATGGAGCCACCGTGCAGTCTACCGGGCCAAGGGCCGTGAAAGCGGGGGACTGATGCGAACAGCTTTCTGAGGAGGAACGGCTCCCCGCCAGGCAGAGGAGGGCCCGCAGAGACCGATGGGCTGGTGCAGGGGGGGGGGGGGGGCGCACCCTCCCGCCTCCCGGCCACCCCTACAAGGCGGTGCTGCTAGCGGTGCTTCTGGTGCCCCCGGCCTCCCCCTGAGCCTGCGGGGGCCCATCCGGGGCCTCCCGGCTCATGGCCACGTTATCAAAGGCCTCGGGGACCTTGATGGGCAGCTCAGGCTCCTCCTCGAGGTTCTGGCAGCAGCCGCTGCAGCGGCAGCACGGCGGACAGCCACACAACAGGCAGCACGTACGGCAGCAGAGCCGGCAGCAGAGGCAGCAGCGGTTCTGGCAGCAGCCGGCGAACAGCGAGATCAGGTCGTCCCAGGGCTTCAGCGAGTGCATCCACAGCGGCAAGAAGTTCCAGTTCTGGAGCCTTCCGGGCAGGATGCGCGGGCAGCGCGACTGCAGGAGATTGAGGACCACCACCAGGAGGATCACGAAGATGATCGGCACGCCCACGCCCACCAGCACCGGCCAGCCGGCCAGCGAGAGGCCGAACACGGCCAGCGGGGTCAGGAAGAAGAAGAAGATCAGGTAGAAGACGGCAAACCAGCGGTACTCGGCGGAGACAATGCCCAGGCCCTTGGCCAGGCGGATGGGCAGGCGGGTGAAGGGGATCGGGTACCATAGCAGGATGCCCGAAATGTTGAAGAAGAAGTGGCACAGGGCGATCTACAACACAAGAGAGGGGACAGGTGAGTGGGTCTGGTGCCTGGGGGAGTCAGGGTGATGGAAGGGTGGTCTACTGGTCTACAAGGCGTCCTAAGCAGAGGCAGGGGTCTTCCTGGTCTTCAGAGCACAGTTCAGAATGGGCCTGATAAGGAGGAACGGAGGCTCTCTGCCCAAGTAGCCTGGCTCCAGAGGCCACACTCTGCTCCTTCCCCGTGTGCCCATTAGGTGCCAGGCATCACACGAAGGGCTCGGGACCAGTCTGTCTGATACATTAAGCACTAGCTGTGTGTGGCTGCTGAGTACGTGACCATGTGGCTAGCCCACATGGTCTACATGAGATGGGCTGCAAGTCCAGAACACACACTTGGTTTCCAAGGCTTAGTCCAAAAAAGAAGGTAAGGGCGCCTGGGTGGCTCAGTGGGTTAAGCCGCTGCCTTCGGCTCAGGTCATGATCTCAGGGTCCTGGGATCGAGTCCCGCATCGGGCTCTCTGCTCAGCAGGGAGCCTGCTTCCCTCTCTCTCTCTCTCTCTCTGCCTGCCTCTCTGTCTACTTGTGATCTCTCTCTGTCAAATAAATAAAATAAAAATCTTTAAAAAAAAAAAAAAAGAAGGTAAAACACCTCACCAGCTTTTAAATCGATTACATGTTGGAAAGGATAATGAGTTAAATCAGATACGTTATTAAAACTAATCTCCCTGTTTTAGTTTTTTAAAATATGGCTACTGAAAATTTTTAATTACGTGGGTGGCTCAAATTTATATTCTACACTCAGATTTCTGTCCAGACAGAGTCTCATCAGATCCTTAGAATAATCCTAATGAGATCCAGTTCCCAGGTTTCTGATGATGGAACTGATGCTCAAGGTCAGGTCACCTGTCTAAGGTCACTTAGCCTGGAAAGGCAGGACAAGAATGCCAATGCCAAAGGTCTTGTCCAAGTAATTGAGCTGATCCAAGCAGGTCCCCCTCATTCTAAGCCCAGAGCACAAGTGACCTCCCAGTGTCCAAGCAGAGTTCCCCAAGAGGGGAGCAAGGAGATGGGTAGTGTGGTATTTATGCCTCTTGAATACTCTTCCCACCACTACCAAGTAGTGGCCGCCCCACCTGTTTAAACCACCACCAGGGATGGGAGCGGTCTCATGGTTTTGAACACAGAAAAACTTGGCTCTTGTTCAAAACCATCTGCTTGCAAGCCCACAAATGGTGCTTAGTTCCCCCAGAGACCCCAGCCTGCATAGCCCTTCCTAACCTGCAGTGAGCTCCTCAGGGTATTGCCAGGGCTGGCCAAGGCAGCCAGAATGGCGGTGGTGGTGGTACCGATGTTGGAGCCCAGCGTGAGCGGGTACGCCCTCTCGATGCTGATCACACCAATACCTGGTGGGAAGATACAGAAACTAGAGTATCAGCCTCAGGGGATGATGGGAGATGGTAATGGCAACAAGAGGGGGAAGCCGAGGAGAAACTCACCGATCAGTGGGGTCATAGCGGATGTGAACACGGAGCTGCTCTGCACGACGAAGGTCATGCCTGCCCCCACGAGGATGGCCAGGTAGCCGGTCACCCAGGCAAAGGGAAATGGAAAATCTAGGAGACAGAGGTAAAGAAAGCTGTCACAGGTTTCCTAAGGAGGCCTGGATTGGGGGCCCAGCTGGCACCTCCAGAGGATCTGGGGGGGCATGGGCTGGGCCAGAAGGTCAGGTTGTATGGCAGCCTCCCCAACGCCATGACCAGAAATTAACAAATGGGATTTTTAGAATCCTTTCCCCTTGCATATCCAGATGGTAGAGCCAAGAATGTGTGTGTGTGTGTTATGAAGGCAAATACACACACCCCAAAATTCCTGTGTTGAAACCCTAATGCCCAGTGTGATTGTATCAGGAAGTGGAGCCTTTGGGAGGTAATTAGTTCATGAGGGTGGAGTCCTTATGAATGGGTTAGTGCCTTTATAGAACAGAGATCTTGCTTTCTCTCTACTAATGCCATGGGAGGACACAGTGAGGAGTCGGCCACTGTAAATCAGGAAGTGGGACCTCACCAGAACCTGACCATGCTGGTACCACGCCCAGACTTCCCAGGCCTCAGGACTCAGAAATACATTTCTGTTCAAGCTACTGAGCCTAGGATAATTTGTTACAGTAGCAGAACTAAGACCACCCAAATAACCACCTTCCTACCACAAAGCACTTGGAGCACTGGGACCTCTGTTCTTCTGCCTGGCCTGGTCTCCAAGTGCCATAGATCCTCCATCTTTGTGAAGGACCATGGAGGCAGGACGGGCAGCTCGAAGTCCCACATATGGAGCTCTCAGGACTGCCCATATGGCTCAGACCCTGCCCACCCAGCAGGTGCCCAGAGTGACCCAGCTCAGCCACATGGCCACCCTGGGACAACCCTGGGAGGCAGATATTCTTGGCCCCATTTCACTGAGGTTTCACAGGGAGGCGATGTCCTTGGGCCTGGCAGTCTCTCATTGGCCAGGATGCCATACTCATCAGCAGCTTCTCCTGGCCAGTGGGGCTGCGCTGGCTGCCTTGAGATGCTGACATATTATCCACAATCACATTTTCTTCCCAGGAGTTGAAGAGAAGTAGGGAACAGGGTGGACATCCATTACCCTTTTCCTAAGGGCTCCTAACAAACCCCAAAGCCATGGGCATAGGAAAACCTGCTGGAAGGAAGGTTTGTCTCACAGATCTCTGGATTTGAGCCCCCTCTTCCTCAGGACCTTTCAAACATGACAAAAGCTAGTGCCTACTTCCCCAGACTCTACCCAAGACACCAAGGAAGATTTTAAGGGCAAATGGGATCTCAACTTCTTCAGCTTATCAGTTCCAAGAGAGAAACTCCATGCAGAGGCCATTGCTAGATAAAAATCTAAAGGAGTCCCCCCACACCAGTAGCCATAGTGATGCCATGCCCTAGAGAGCCCAGAATTGGCAGGAGTGGGGGGTGAGGGTACCTACCAGTGTTGAGAGTCTTCTTGATGACAATGGCCACCTGTCCCCGGAGCACCGAGCCCAGGAGCTTGACAATCATGATCAGGCAGCCGCAGAGGACCAGCAGGGAGACTAACAGCAGGATGGTGCCAACGACAAGGTCCGGGAGGTTGGAATTCACAAAGATGTGCTGGCCTGAAAAGACCATGGAAAGCCCTTGTTAGGAGGGCCATTCCCTCCGCCCCCTGCCAAGGCCACAGTTGGTACTCATTCCCCCAACATCTTTCTGTATGACAGTAACAGAATCTTGATTGTTAGCTTGACCTATGGCAACCCAGAACAAAGACCAAACTTCCTAGCCGCCTTCTACAGCGAGGTGTGACCCTGAGGCTCTGTTCTGGTCAGTGGGAGCCTCATAAGGCCAGAACATGAGGTGAAGTCCTTGTAGCTGCAGAGCTAGTCTGGGCATTCTTCTACCTCTAACTTCCACACAATGTTCTACTCATGAAACTGAAGATAATTACAAAGGAGAGTCTGAGGAGCAAAGTGGGGTAGAGTGGACAAGTCAGAGTAGGAGCTATTGCTAACTGGAAGCCTCCTTATTTTTTTATAAGTCCTGCATGGCCCCATGATTATATAGTTTTACTGATGGATGGCTACCACCCAGAACACAGGAGGTGATGAACTCATGGACACTGTGAGGTCAACCACACTTAAAATACTTGCTGCTCAGAATGAATGTGGATGGTGGGGAGAGGAGGAAGAGAAGCAGAGATACACACATGAGTAGATAAGGAATGATAAGAATTAAAGATGTCAGGACACCTGGGTGATTCAGTGGGTTAAAACCTCTGCCTTCGGCTCAGGTCGTGATCCCAGGGTCCTGAGATCAAGCCCCACATCGGGCTCTCTGCTCAGCGGGGAGCCTGCTTCCTCATCTCTCTCTCTCTGCCTGCTTCTCTGCCTACTTACGATCTCTGTCTGTCAAATAAATAAATAAATAAATAAATAAATCTTAAAAAAAAAAAAAAGAATTAAAGATGTCTAGGCCAACATTCCTGGGACAACAGTCTAGCTTCTTAAAGAATCAGAGCATCACATAGGCTCATTGCCTTGATCAGGGCTTTAGCTCCAGGGTCTTGAACAGGGCCTACTGGACAGCAGGGACTCATGACTATAGGGTCAATGTATCTGTTCTGTTCCATGTGGGCCCCGCATCTCCTGCAAATCTGGTGGGTACCTCCCTAGAGCACGGAGGATACCAATGCATCCCGAGGGAGAACTCCCGAACCTATTGCTGAACTCTGGTGCATTATGGGACCGACAGAGGAACTGGGCCTCAAGACCTAGTTCCACCCCCTACTGTGGGATCTTGGACCTGTCCTTGAGACTTAGTTCCTGCTGCTGTGAAAGTGCATAGTTTGTGACTTGGAATAATGCTGGTGTTCAGTGAATCCTAGTGCGCCTTCACTTACTGTGCTTCACGCAGAGAAAGAACACTGTCAGCAGCCCCCAGCACCCATCCCCGTGGCTGACACTCTGCTGAGACCCACTTACACTTGGCAATGTTCTCCTTGGAGGTCACGTTCTTGATAGTCCAGGTGTACAAACCATCCGACCAACAAAGGGAAGGCGAGGTGCAGTTCTCAGGCGAAGGGACAGTGACATTCATTTGAGTCTGAATGACAAACATTGAGAAATGGTATGTATAGTTCACACTATGCACTTTTGATGGGGACTAGCAGGCAGTGTGGCAAGTAGGAGGGAGACACACATCAGTGTGTGTTTGTATGTGTGATGCACTGTTTCCATGGGTCCCTCCATCAGTGGGAACACAGGTGGCCAAAGGTAAGCCAGGAGACATGAAAGTTGCAAGCCAGGAATAATCTATCTGCAGTGCGGGGTGTGGCAGAATGGGCCGGGTCTGTCCTACTGCATTATCTGTCCATCCAGCATTCAAAAACTTGTTTTCTTAAGGATTCTCACAGGCCAATTTTTACTTCCTTTTACCTCTCATTTGCCCACACTGCATTAAAAGTTTTGCCTAAAGCACAGGTTCAAGAGTTTGCCCACCCAGCAATATTCTTAGAAACTCACAACATTGGTCAAAGTTTTGCACCAAATCTTGATCAGACTCTTGTTTTTGGCAGCTTCATCATTCATTGCGATTTCGCTGATAACCTTCTTATCCAGCTGAGGAAGACAACAGGCAGGAAACAGTCAGCACATCCTCAGCACTGGGGAGGGACCCACATGGAGAAGGTTCTACTAAAGGGGCTTCAACAACATAAGCCCGACTGAGAGCCTCTGCCGGAGTGTGCCAGGACTCACTCCATCTGCACCCCCAGGATGGAGCACCGCACCTGGATGGTAGCAGGTGTTGGACAAAGGAATGATCGTATCAACAACGGGCTTGCAGCTGGGAAACACACAACAGATCGTCATTGGATGACAGCAAAACCCAGAAGGTAAGGGTAGTAAGGGGCAAGGTCAAAACTGACCCATTTTCCAAGGCAACAACCACAAAAAAACTTTTAAAATTTATTTTAGTAATATTTCAATGACCCTAGGGAGCAGAGGGGTGAGATGGAAGGGAAGGACAGCAACCTTTCTCTTGGGACAGAAGCAGGATAATACTTTTCCCGTGAGCCCATGGGTGCTGAAGTCAGTAGGGGGACTAAAATGGCCCCAAGTGTCCAATGGAGTCTTTTGAGTTTCGAGGAGCGCTTGTCACACGCTCCCACCCCAATAAAGATGATATGTGTTGGAAGTCAAGGAAAACGAAAAGGCCAGTTATGATACCCAGTGTCCCCAGAGTCTCACCTCCCATGGCCTTTTCAGAGGCGTTATAGATCCTCATCCTTCTCCACTATCCCTGCCCAGTTAGGAGAGGAGGGGAGTTAGGGGGAAAGGGGAAGTTAGCTCCTTCCTTTCCCTCTCTGAAGGAAGCTGGGTTACCTGGATTATGAGCTTGGTGAAGGGGTCTGTGATGACTTTCAGAAGTGCTGGGGCATCTTCTCCATTCTTGAAGTTAAAGGTCTCCACTACCAGGTCGGTCAGGATCTCCAGGTAATGGGTGACTGCCTCCAGGGGCAAGAGCACCAACACAGACAGCCAGTTGAAGAAGTCATGGACAGTAGCTCCTGCAAAAGCCCTATAAGAATCCCAACCCAAGCCAACAGTTGGATTAGTCAACAAGCAAGTAGGTACCAGTCTAGGCAGGTCATGGATGGCATTATCTGCCGGTGGGGCGGGGGGTGTCACCTCTCTGTCTACATTCACATTCTCACAGCAGTTCCCAAGTGGTTGATATCAATATCCCCATTTGGCAGATGAGGAAATGGAGGGCCAGCAAGTATAGGGGAATAGATGACCACTGCCTGGTTGCTGGGTCCAGGACCCCTGGACTCCCACTGCCCAGCAGAGGCTCCCCCACCACGCCAGATAGCACTCAGTTCTCTCTGCAGGGGGTGGGGAGAAGGGAAGTAGACAGGTTATGGCCATAACAAGGAGCGCCGTGATTCATCCAGACCACTTCTGAATCACACCATTGAGGACAATCTTCCTTTGGAAAGCTGGGGGCCAGTGGTATGGCGGTGACCAAAGCCATCAACTGAATTCTTAACTTTGTTAAAATCTTGAGACTCTGATGAACCGTTTGAATGGCCTGCACAGAAAACAGGTCAATATACACTAAAATTTATATCTGAGAAGATTTGCACAGTCCCCTGAATTCCATCCTATCTCCAGACTAACAAGTGAGATGTTTTTCCTCAATAAAAATGTTTTCCTTTAAAAAGTATCTGCATTTTGGGGCCCCTGGGTGGCTCAGTTGGTTGAACACGTGCCTTCGGCTCAGGTCATGATCCCAGGGTCCTGGGATCAGATCAAGCCCCACAGATGGGCCCCTGGGATTGGATAGAGCTCATGGATCTGGGCAGGGAGCCTGCTTCTCCCTCTCCCTCTGCCCTTTTCCCACCCTCACCCCCTACTCATGCTCTCTCTCTCAAATAAGTAAAAATTTTTAAAAAACAAAAAACACATCTGCATGGGCAAAAAACCACCCAAACCAAAAAAAAAAAGGACTTGAACAGATAGAAGCTAATAAACCTGTGTGGGAAATGCTTAACTAACTTCACTAGTAGTAAAATTTATTTACATTTATTTACTTCTAAGTACAAATCTTTACCTTCCATATCAGCTAATATTTTTAAAAAGTAACCTATTCTTCCAAGAGAAGGTGATTTAAGACATCTTCATAAAGTGATGCAAATATTTCTTAGTTGTTTGGCAAAATGTTTTAAGAGCCTTATAGGGGTCGGATATAGTCATTACTTTTCTGAAAACCCACGAGGTGTTCCAAATCACCAGGAAAGAATGATGCACGTCTCCAAAGACATTACTGAAAGCAGTCTATTAAAATAATCCAAACGAGGGCTGGGCTAGTTCAATTTTATTCCTATGTGCAGCCACTTTCATAGATCATGTTTATATTTGGCAAGTTTATATTTCATATGTAGCAGTGAAGAGCCCAGAATCTGGAAGAAAACCTAGACTGAGTCCCAGCCATGTCCCTTAGGGAAGTTATTTAACCTCTTTGTGTTTCTGTATTAATGAAATGGGGCAAAGAAAAGTCTACTCAGCTTCTTGAGAAGATCAAATTAACAGCCTGCCCTGGATAATGTTGTATCCGTTCTCAAGACCCTTGGGACATTTCATCGGGGACCAAAGAAGGTTAGCCGTGTCTGAGCAGAAGAAATGAGCAGCTCCAAGGACCTCTGCCACCTGCCAGTTCACCAGCTGATGAGGGATGTCATCTGCTGATGACCCAGCCAGCCTGCTTACTTACTGCTGTCTGCCCAACCTGTGCGGAGACTGCGTCACGTAGACAAAGTACTTCTGTTTTAGAAACTTCTGGAAAAAGCCCATCTGTCAGAAGGTAGGCTGAGAATGTGCCTCATTTTCCCATTAACCTTTTGGAAGGAAGGGGTACCCTCTGCCTGTTTCAACCCGCCCCGTTTTCCGATCTTCTGCACCCACAAAAACTATATTTTGCCTTTTACTGGCATACAGGTAAAGTACAAAGGGAAGGTGGCAGGGGTTGAGCTCAGCCAAAAGAGGAAGCTTTAGGAGGTTATAATTATTTCTGACTCAGCGGGATAGTAAATCCTATCCTAACTGGCCTTGTTTTAACTACACCACACGGCAGGGAAGCTTCTAGCTAGGGCTTGCCTTTAGGGAGCTCCTGAATGCGTGCCAACTACCTGGCTAAGCATTTACCTGTAGGCCTGGGTTTAGTCCTTTGGACAACAAAGGTGACAGACAGCCAGTGATCCTGGCGATGCCTTGACCATGGAGCTGAGTTTCATCAGCTGGTAAGTATGTGATCCCAACCCCCAGCTGCATTCTACTACGGCTACTTCGGAGCTCTAGCAATGACCAGCATATTCGCATTGGCTGACTAAAGGTAGTTATGAGGACCTGGCCCAGCAAAAGCTGATTCTGAGCCTCCTACCTTCTGAACTCATTCCGGTCTCCCGCCTGCATGAGCGCCACAATGGTGTTGGTGATTGAGGTCCCAATGTTGGCCCCCATGATAATGGGGATGGCTGCACGCACACTCAGCACTGGAAAACGGGAGAGAGAAGGTTAGGGAGTTAGCAAGCTTGGAAAGACAGCCTGGCTACATTCCCGATGTGGCCCAAGGCAGGCTGACCTCAGTCAAGCTGGTAATTGCCAAAGCAGCCTTTCCTAATGATTTTGGGGTCAGCACCAGGCTACGAATCTGATGCAAGCTGGGACGGCTCACAGAAATATGTGTACCCCAAAAAATTTCCAGCACATAATTTCAGGGACTCCGCAGACTCCACAAAGAAGCCCTTCTGTGGAGCCCAGTTTACAAGTGCCTTTCTCAATTTCCTCCATATTACAGGTGCAAGGCCAGCTCAGGCGACAACAGGAGACAATGTTTAAAGACTTGTGTATTTATTATGGGAAATTTCTTTTTCTAAGACAATTTAGTACACTACCACAATGTTCTAACATATGAAAGCAAAGCTATATATTTTTAAGATTTTTATATATTTATTTTAGAGATAGCATGAGCCAGGGGAGGAGGAGAGGGAGAGGGACAAGCAGACTCTGCACTGAGCACAGAGCCTAACACGGGGCTCAATCCCACCACCTGAGACCATGACCTGAGCTGAAATCAAGAGTCAGACACTTAACTGAGGCACCCAGGTGCCCCAAAGGTAAAGTTATTTTGAAGAATAACTTTTTTCTGATTTAGCCCAGAAAAGTTCTAGTTAATTTTGCTAAAAAATACTTGTCTGGGCTGAAAATTAACCAGTTCAAATTGCCCCCCCACCCCACCCAAGACTCTGTCCCAGTTTAGCCAGAGAAAACGATCAGCACAGTCAAGTTTGGAATGCCGGCTTCCCAAGCTCAGTGGTCCCCAAGCCAACGTGTGATGGGATTACATGTCTTTATTCTTATCACAGAGCAGTGATGGAAATGTTCCTTATCTACATGGCCCAATATGGCAGCCACTGGCCACATGTGACTAACAAGCCCCTAAAACATGGTTAGTACAACCCAGCAACTAATTTTTATATTTAAAGTAACTTAAGCTTAAATAAAATTAAATAGCCATATGTGGCTAGTGGCTGCTGGACTGGACAATACAGTTCCAGAGAATTCAGAGCCGAGTCTTCAAGCCTCGGGGCTTGAAGACCCAACCACTGGAATGGAAACAGGAGGCTGCCCAGGATTAAGGCAGGACATGTCATAGTTGTGCAAGAAAGGAAGACACCAGTGACTGGCCTGGATGTATTCAGAACAAATTCCAGGCTCCCCAGCAGGACGGGAAAATGCCTGCAGTCTGGGCCCACAGGTGCCTGGACTCACGTGAGGAAGCCACCATGCTGACGACGATGGACGAGGAGGTGCTGGAACTCTGCACCAGGACGGTCACCAGCACGCCAATCACCAGCCCAGCCACGGGGTTGGACATAATGGAGTTATTGCTGAAGAACTGTCCAGCCACCTTTCCTGAAGAAAACAAGTGCACGGTATGGAATGTTAGGTGGGCACTGAGTATACTGTAGTCTCTAGACACAGCCAGTGGGCTGGGTGGGGGGTGGGAAGGCGAGGCCAGCCTCTAGCCCAGCTGGTACCTCCGGACTCTTACTTCCATGGGCTTCTTCCAGTGCTGCCCTGGCACCATGTCTCCCCTTCTGTGACCAAGCTCCCGGTATACCCCCACCACCCAGTATATCCCTTCACCCTGTAGCCTCCCACACTTCTGCCATTCCTTTCCACAGCAAGCCCTCCTCTAGCCTTCTCTGGTCACCAACGGCCTCGATTCTACTTGGCCCAGTGCATGTCAGTGAGTCTCCTGATGCCCTAATTCCCCGTTCAGATTTATCTCCCAGGAATGGATATTCTCATTCTTCTCTGTCCACCTTATCCAACCCCCATTCTCCAGCCCCAGCCTAGCCTGAGATGCCCAAGACCACCAATCCATTCCCCAACCCATTTATGGGCCCAGAGGGTGGAGGCCACTTGTTAGGTACTCAGAAGGTGAAACGCCTTGCTGATGCTGCCTTGGACCAGGGACTTGGCAGTGGCATCCAGGAGGTTGGTCTGCCCCTCATCCATCCCCACAAGTGCCCCCTTCCCCAGTTCTCCCAGGTAAAAAGATGAGTTCCCAAAAAAGGCACCATGGGGTATAGAAAGTCTTCCATGTGACTGGGATCTGAGTTTGGAACCCACTATACCAGCTCTAGCCTGTGAAATGAAGGTCTGGGCAGCATGACCTCTTTCGGCCTCAGATGCTCCTCGTCAATGAAAAGAGCTTTGGGAAGAAAAGTGCAGGACCCCAGGTGGCAGTCCAAGTGCCGGTTATCAGTGTCATCCCCTATTAGGGAACACAGGGGACCAATCCCATGCTGATCTCACTCCTGGGTCCCCCTCACACTGCACAGCTACCCTCAGTCCTGGAAGATGTTTTGATAACTGCCAAGGATACAGATCCACCAACTCTGGGACCCTTATTCTTCTCCAGCTAAGGCCCAGCCCTGATTTTCCACAGTTGCTTTAGCTCGAGAGCACTCCTAGCTAATAATCTCTTCAGGTGGGAGGCCCAAGACAGCAGGGATCCCTGAGATAAGTCCCTCTGTCAGACAGCTTCCTGTCCAGGGTCAGTGGATGAATACAGGAGGCCGACGGCTTGAAACTGGCTCCAGCCCTGGCTGCTGGCCTAAGCGATGTCAGCCAATAGTCACAGCCCCTTTACAGACATCAGTTTTCTCTTCTGTAAAATAGGGGCATGACTTCACAAGATATCAGATGACTTCTTGCCCTAAAACAGGCTGAGAGGCTGCAGCTGGAGAGGGCTTCCTGCATTGTGACCAGGTGAACCCAATACCACAAAAATCCCCTCACCCTACATCTTTGTCCTTTCCATCCATACCTCCAACCAGCTGGAAGGCACTGCTGAGGACATCCAAGGAGCACACGAAGAAGTAGAGAAATCCCAGAAGCAAAATAAATTTCCCAATTCCTTGGAAGACACAGAGAATCTTCCCTTTGGTGTCTCTCTCTGGGGTAAGGGAAAAGGGATGAAGTCTGTTAGTGCCCGAAACTCAGAAGTTTGGCAGTGAGCTCAGAGGTCCCCCCTTCTCCCTTCTATACCCCCCCTCCAGGTGGCTATAAGCAAGGCCTAGAGATGGGACACAGCCATAACTGCAGTTTTCAAAGCAATTACCACTATAGTTCATTTAGTTGAAGCCTGTGGTGAGGTGTCTCTGAAGGATCAGCTTTGGAGAGGAGGGGTCCTATGGGGTCTGGGGCACTGATAGGCAAGCCAGACTCCAGGATCAGCTGAACCAGTGCTGCTGAGTGGGGCAGTTAAGGGCACTTGACACCTGCCAAGTGTGGGATCAGAGATAATGGCTCTCCTAAGCACCTTCAAAACAGCACAGGATACTTTCTAGAACGTGGCCACAAGGTAGCAATCACAGGCTCCACTTGGGGAGGATTGGGGTGTGCACACATCCTGGAATGCTATGTCCTCGGATGCTATTTTCTCTGCTCCTTCTTATAGTGGTTCTCACCTCCTCCCTCCCAGCTGTCTGAGCTGCATACAGACCCACACCCTGTACCGAGGAAAGAAAGGCAGTATTTGCCTGCATACCAGCCTTGCTGGTTGTATAGTCTATCTTCTGCAAGCCTTCCTTGATGCCCACATTTAGGTGGGGAGCCCCCTCAATCCAGGAGCTCTCAGTGAGGGACCCTGTCTGTTCACTGCTGCATCCCGAGCACAGCTCCTGGGAGCCAGTCGGCCCACAGTGGATCATGGGGAGCAGCACAGTGCCTAGCGTTCCAACACTGGGACACTCGCTGAATGAAGGAGAACAAAAGGCCCCCCAGTCCTCACACTGCGCTTGGACTTAAAGCCTCCAAGACTGCCAGGTGGCGTCCCTAGCCAGGACCTTTGTTTGAAGGGCATCAGAGCAAGGGCAAGAAAGAGGACAACACAAAGGAGACAATATGGTGGAGACCATGAACCCAACCCTCACTGATGGGAGTCCCTCCTGCCTGCTTTTACCTGACCACTTGATCCCAGTATCCCAAAGCTCAGGCAGGTCCCAGGGGTCTGCCACCTCGGTGGGCTCCTCTATCAGTGCCACAGTGGAATTGGATGGCAGAAGTTCAATCTTGGTCACAGGACTTCCGGTGTCATCTATCCAAACAAGCAACAGAGGTCATGAGAATACGGGTCAGACCAGAGTCTCCGGGGGTCCTCACAGGAGGCCAGGCTGGGGCAGGATGGGCAAGACTTACTTTTGTTGGTCTCCTTGCCTTTCCCAGGTGTGGTGGGCTGCTGACTGGTGACCCCTTCCAGGTATTTATTGGGGTTGGGCTGGGCATTTTCCAGCTCGGGCCAAGGAGCCATGGTCTGTGGACAGAAAACAGAGCTTATAGAAGCAGCCACTAAAAGGCGTCACTCTCAGGTGCTGTGTCAGGAAGAACCAGTGGCAGCAGAGATTCTGGAGAGATGAAGGGTGTCGTGCTCAGACAATTTCCAAGTGTGGGCTCTTGAATGCCTATTTCCACCTCTGGGTCTCCCTCACCTGCTCGCCTCGGCTGTCGATACATCAGACCCTGTCTTAGTGTTTTTCCATTCTAGCCTCAAGTCAGCTGAACTTGCTTCGGTTTCTCTCACTTCCCTCTCTCAGTGTCGGTCTTAACTCTCCTTCAGTCAGCAAGGGGATGCAAACCTATCCATCTTCCACTCAGGGAACACCAAGTCTTCAAGCCCTACGATGGGTCCCTCATCTGCTTTTTATTTCTAAACTACAGGTCTGCACCAAACCTCATCCAGGGGACATAATGTATGTGTAGATCCTCATATTCGTTCTACCTGCCTGACCCACCACCAAGTCTTCTGTGAGCAGCGTGACCCGCCGGAGCTGGTTTGAATCCCAGTGGTGCCACTTATCAGTGAGTGTGTGTTTAGGAACGTCCTTTCATATCCCTGAGCATAAAGACATAAATGTCTCCCCATCTATTAAAGGTGGATAGTTCTTCATACTTTGCAGGGTTACGAGACTAATGGCGATACCTAGAAAGTGCCTGGCATCAGGCAGGCAATTAGGACTATGCGATGCGGCTGAATTAATGATCCTTTGTCAGAACCACATTCCTTCCAACCTTTGATAAGACTTCCTCATAACCCATTTTCTCAACAAAGCCTTTCTTGCTTACACAGACAGGAAGTGTGGCTCTTGACACACTTTTGGAAGTCCACTCCTTGTGGTCCTTGTCCTTTGACACACGTTAGACAAGGGGAGGACAAAGGACTGGAACAAACAATTCACAGAAGAGGAAGTACAGGTGGCTAAAATACTACAAAATAAGAATTTGGCCTCATTAACAACCTAAGATATGCAAAATGGAACAGGGAGTTAAGTTTCGACCATCAGATCAGCAGAAAATTATTTCTTAGGTATACTGTGCTATGCTAGAGAAGAGGCAGTGAGAGGAGCACCACTATAGAACGCTTTACTTTTCTTAATATGTCTCTAACCTAGTCATTTCACTTCTAGGAATTAAGAATCTAGGAACATTTTCTCCCAGAAAATACAAAATACCTCCCTGTTCCGATCACTTCTTTGAAGAGATGTTCCCAGAATCTGGGTCTCACTCCTTTCCTATTTTTCTTAAATGGATCTACTTCCTGCCTACCAAAATGTAAGCTCTACCCCTCAAATAGAGGCTTTGTCTAGATCTTCACTGTATCCTGGGGGTCTGGAGCTCTGCCTGGCACATCGGCAAGGCCCAATAAATGGGGATTGACCGAATGAACGGGATGCAGACCGAAAAGACGTTGCCACACTGTCAAAGAGATGAAAAGTAAAGACAGGGAAATTGTTGTATTAACCACAGTCCGTCCGTGAGGCATAACAGCATGCCACTGAAAAGGTGATAAAGAGCCAGAAGAAGATAAAAAGAAAAAAACCCAGGAAAATGCTTTAGCTAAATTGTGAATAAAAGGTACTTCTTTGTCCTACTCACAGCATGTTCTCATAGGCTCTGGGACAGCTGCACGGGATTCAGAGTGGGTGATGGGATTGTGGGGGACTTATTCTTCCTCTCTATGAAATTATCAAATTCTCGTAAGAGATGTAGCCCAACCCCAGACCCACAAGTTGCAATGGTTCGGGGACACCCGTGGTGGCACTCTTTATGCTGGTAAGCCAAGCCCTCTGCTGATTCTGGGTGTCCCCATCAGGAGGGGGTTTCACCCGCCTAGGGAATTTCGACTTTTCCCACGAACTGCAGGACATGACATGTTCTTCCACGATCACAAGGAAGAACGTCTTGCAGGCACCAGCTTCCATGAATATGTAACCAGGCCTTTCATTTCAACTTAACGAGCATCCAACACAGGGCCTGGCACACAACCGGCCTCACATGCTTTCCACATAGGACGCTGGGACCTGCCTGGCCAGCGAGAGCCTGTACTGACTGAGCCTGGCTGGGCTCAACCTCGCAGCCACCCATTCGGGGAGTTATTGTTCTCCCATTAGATAGATGAAGAAACTGGGGGTAAGGAGGCTAGGTAACTTATCCAAGGACCCAGGGTGTAGAGCTGTGAGCTCGGGTCAATTTGAATCCTGAGCCCTTTCTGGCAGCCGCTCCTGGGCTGGGCGTTCTCTGCAGGCCACTCAATTGGTTTCTAGGCTAGACATTGCTTCTAATGTCCAGCCCTCTGGAGTTGCTGTGTCTGCCACAGGTTCGACTCCTCCCTCAAGCTCCATGAAATTCCTTCTTACAGCTGACCATCAAAGGTGGGGCAAACCCTGCTATTCTCAAGGCCTGCTAGGGTGGGGCAGGGGATGGGCTTCCTGGAGTTGTACTGGAAGGCAGCTATGAGGCTGGGGCCCCAGCAGGAGAGGTGGGAGCTGGGTGGCTGGGGAGGACAACCTAGGCTGGTCGGAGAGAGCTCTAAGCTCAGCTCAAGGCCACTCTGCAGGTGAACTGGCTCAGGTTTGAAACAGCACAGAGATAAGAAAAGACAGAGCCAGGTCCCCATGCTTAGGGAAGCATAGCTAAGGGGTCTACCTCTGTGACTCTCCCAACACAGGATCCTTAGCCCCAGGGTTTTGGGGAAAGAAGCACTCTTGGGGCTCTTCATTTTAGTCAGGCGCTAGGCTGGGTAACTTTACACAGTGCAGATGTTCTGAATCGCAGGCCAGCTCTGCCTCAGATACTAAGGCAGTCACTCGACTGCTCTGTGCCTCAGTTTCCCCTATGCAGAATGGGGCTTGTAACAGTCCATAACCCACTGGGTTATTAGACAGCTTCAATGAGTTAATTTCTGCAAAGTTCTTGGGACAGTAACCTGTCTGATCAAGTGGTTAAGGTTCCTCTTCCCAGCACCCCTGAGAGGAGTTAGTGTTATTCCCATTTTACAGATGAGAAAGCCAAAGCACTCAGAGGGGTAGAGCCACTTGGCCCAGGTCCACAGCACGATTTGAGAGGGTCTGACCCCGGAGTCGGTCCTGCCTCTCAGTTCCACGTCTGGAACGCTCCTGGAAGGGATGAGTCATGCAATAATGGCACCAAACATGCACTGTATCTGATGAATGCCTCATTACCAGGCTCGTCGGAAGATGCCTCAACACTCAGGTGGTAGAAGTCAGCACCCCACTTCCACATACAGAGCCCAGGCAGGAAGCAACAGCTCGGTGGCCTGGGTCTCAAAGCACCCGCCACTCCAGTTTTTGGCACAAAAGCATTCACCTGCATCAAACTTCAGCCACCTCAGGGCCCTTTGGAGCAGTCGGCACTTCCCCATCACCCCAAACGTTAGCTTCGCTGTTTGCCACCCAGAACTGCGAGGTCGTCTCTGCCAGCCCCCACACCCAGCCAGCACCAGGACCTGCTGACTCGAGCTGGGAACATCACAGCTTGTGGTCTCCGGCTCCCCGTGCCACCTCACCAGGCTGGGCCCCAGTGCCAACCAATACACAGCAGCCTGTTTAACTGGTTTGGGCCCCAGTGCCTCCCAGGGGTTAACTTTGCCAGCACCCAGCTGTGATTGCACGGGGACTCCCCATTTCTTTACTGCCCAATGCTCCCTAAATGATCCCCTCTTCAGGTCACACTGGCCTCAGTTTGGGGCCCTAAGTCCTCTCTGTAGGGTGCCACCCTCTGCTCTTGCCTGGGGAGCACCCCTCTTCAGAAGGCCCTCCCCCCATCTTTCAGTCCAAGCCCTCCCTCCACACCTGCCTGAGTCCCACGGGCTCCTCTGACCACCCCCATGTGCCAGGCAGCACTGCCTGTGTGACTCATTGGGCTCCCCGCCACACACGGAGTCATTGATTTCTAATAACAACTACCGTTTAACGAGCTCCAGCAAGGTGCCAGGCACCGTGCTGGGCCATGACACGTAATATCTCCTGCAATCTTTATGCGAGAAAGGGGTCATGCTCATCCCCACTTGCAAACAGGAAAACCTGGAGTGCAAAGAGAGATTATGCCACTTGATCAAAGTCACCCGGCAGGGGAGGGACAGTTTTTAAACACAGTCAGTGAGGCTGGGGCCCTGATTTACAGTATCCTTGGCCATAATGTAAAGGTATTTTCCTGGAGCACTGGTTTTACTCCCATAACTGGGGGATGGGGAGGCTGAAGAGTGTGCCTGGTGGTTAATTACACTGGACACAGGATATTTACATGGAGCCCGTGCTCAGCCTCAGTGCTCCTGACATTCGGGGCAGATGATGCTCTGCTGTGCCAGCGATCTTATGTTATCGTAGGAGAGGCAGCATTCCTGGTCTCTATTCTCAACATACCTCTTTCCCCTTAGTTTTGACAACCCAAAAGGTCTCCAGACATCGGCAAATGTCCCTTGGGGACTGAGAATAACTTCAGACTTCACATCCCAGCTACCTGGTTTCAAGTCTCAGTGACGCCATTTGCTGTGTGACTTTGGGCTAGATCCTTTGCTTCTCTGTTTCCCCACATGTCAAATTAGGATAACATGACTGAGGAAGGATTGTTATGCTTAAGGGTGTTATATATTAAAAGTTCTCAGAATAGTGTTTGACACCTTGTTAAACCTTCTGTGGTTTTCAGCTATTGCAGTAAACTAATCAGGGACATTGGAAAATAGAGGACAAGACTTCTCTGAATTCAAAATTAAAAAGACAGGACACAAAACAATTGCTTTGAGCTTACAAGGGGCGACTCTGAACTACTCACAGATTTGCTAGGGGTTCCCATATACTTGGCTTATTCTGCTCCAGGGTAGCTTGAAGGAAAAATTTGAAAACCTATTATGACCTTCTACAACCTCTCCTTTTATAATCTTAATTCACTCTAGAATCATACTCCTATCTCTTTGCACATCTCTACAGCCTTCTCTACTGCTGTTTAACTTTGAGGCAAGACCCACATGTTAACGCTTTTTCTCCTAGTGCTCAGTAGACTACACCTCGCGGTGCTGCTCACATTTGGGAATGGAGGAGTCCGCATTCAGGGTTTGCTGAAGGGAGGCACCAGGTCCCTGACTAGGAAACACATCAAGCCTGCAGTTTACACCCCCACCATAAGCTGGGTTGGACAAGATCTGCTGGATGTTAGACCCGCATCAAGAAACTGGGCCCTGAACATCACAGCAGCCCCACTTGGGAAACTCTCGTCCCCACTTAGGTCAGAAGGGTGATTATTCGCCCATTTAAATTGTGTTTTCAGGGACTGGATTTCTGAGTGGTCACCAACTATCCAGCAAATACCGAAACAGACACCTCGCCCAGTCTAATATCCAGGGCGCTTAGAGGACAGTGAGCAGTGGGTCAAGTAGACGCCCACTTGCGCTGGTGCAGAGGAACAGGACCTCCCGGCAAGGGATCCTACCTGCTGACGGGCCTCAAATACCAACTTACTCTGAGTCCTTTGCTGGCCTCATTCACGTCCAGGCCCTCATTTTACTCTTTGCCAGTACCACCAGAAGGCAAAAAAACCTATGAACGTCTCCACGCCTCCTTCTTAGAACTCTTGTCTTCCCTACTGCAATCACTCTTCTCAGCAACGTAGGCACACAGGTTCCACTCACCTCACCTTCCCAGGCAGCAAAACCCCAGCTCTCGTGTGGGCTGACTCCACGGTTCGGGAGGAAAGAGAGGCCCTAGAACCAACTCAGGGCCCCTCCTCCAGGCCCCCAGAGCTGCCAGGTCTGCTGCCAGGATAGCGCCCGGCACACAGCACCAAGATAGCATCCCGCAGTGGGTGAGGACCTGGTCTGCGGAGTCCTGCCATGATGTGGGACCCTGAACCTCTCTGAGCCCCAGTTTCAACATCTACAAAATGCGGACAATCTCATCTCCCTCCCTGAGCTGTTACAGGATTGACTGATTAATGGGCCTGCGTGAGCCCCTGAGCAGAGCGCCTTGCAGAGTAAGAATGGAGAACTCTGTGGAATGAATTGCATCATGGACAAGGCACAGCCCAAACGCCACTGGGCCCTAGACCATAAGCTCGTCTTCTCAGTGCTCAGCACAGCAGCGAACCCTCTGTTAATATCTGTCCAAAAAAGGAACCTAAAGCACAAGAGAAAGGCGCTAACATTGTTTTGTGATGGGGGAGTGTCCTATGTGATCCGTGGCCTTATTAAATTTTACAGTAACCAAGTTCTTTCCAGTTTACAGAGACTGAGGCACGGAGAAATTTAAAAAGTTCCATAGCTACCTGCAGATGGGGTCAGTACTGGAACCCAGGAATGCCAGTTCCCAAGCGGAGGCCCCCTTCCACAGACCTCTCAGCCAGGGGCTGAGACAGAGAGACTAGGAATCCTCTGGGCTCCCTCCAAGCCTCGTGCCAAGCTCCAGGCTCCAGGGACTTGCAGGAGAGCTGGCCGGTATCGTCCCCCTGCAGGGGTCCCTCCTACTTAATCCCTTAGAGGGCTAGAGATGCCAGCCAAGAATGCTGGAATGACCGGCTGCTATTCCCACAAAGGCTTCTGGCCTAATGGAGACCGGGATTCAGCAGAGGCCAAACCTTTTTAAGAGTCTCAGCTAAGCAGGAAAAGGTGACACTGAATGAGCTGGACAGAGGCCCCAACCTGAATCTCAGGCCACTCTCCCAGTGGGGTGCCAGACACCGGCCTGTCTGGAACCTGCTTCTCTAGGAAGGGGCTCTGAGCAGCCGCTGGGGTCTTTGGCACCTTTGAGCCCCCCCCCACCACCGTCTCTCCCCGGGGTATCCTTTGATCTAGCTGTTCCCCTGCCACCTTCCCAAGGGCACACTCCAGCAATGTCTTGCCACCTGCCAGAAAAAGCAGAGAAGCATCAAGTCATCCACTTTGTCTGTTTGGTACTAATACCCATAAAGATTTTTTGTTTGTTTGTTTTAACCCCTAGGCACGAGGCTGGTGGGTCTGAGCACACACCTACTACTCTCTTGCTCCCCACCACTCATCCCTACAACTGCACTGGCTTCTGCAGAATAACCCTTTCGGCTCAACTTCCCACATCCGCATGTGTACCGCCCGCCTGCCAAGAGGACCTCCTCAGGCTAAGGAGAGGACACACTTCTCAGACCCGGGGAGCAGGAAAATGTAGGGCACCTGGCAGTCACCCAACCCCTCCACTAGGCATTGTTTGAGCTTCCCCAACCAAGACCAGTGCTGGTGCCGCCTGTACTCAGAACAGCAGCCGCCATTCCAAGTGGGAGGGGGAAGAGGCAGGGCAGCTCCTGCAGGGAGAGGAGACAGGCCCACTGTCTCCTCCCAGGCAGTGGCCTCCAGCACTGCAGGGAGCACCCCACGCAAACTAACCCGTCCCATCTCACATGCACTTCACTTCTGCACATTTACTTCTAAGCACTTGTACTTTCATGCTAATTCTAACTAGGAAGAAAAACTAAGACACAAAGAAATTAACTGCTTCATGTTCTACAGACTCTACACCCTCAGGAACAATTCAAACTCAGGTAGTCTGAGTCCAATGTTCAATACGCTTCAGAAATCCTTTCAGACGTTGAAAGAATGACCTAGACTTCAAAAATTCCCAAGAGGGCAATGGCTACTTTTTTTTTTCAGCTTTCTTCAGCCATCACAAGGCAAAATAATCCCAAAGACACGGTAGTTGGAGGCGGGGAGGGTGCGTGGTAGTTGCGGGGGGAGGTGTGTGGCACAGGAGACGGAAGCAATTGGTCTGGGCTTTGCATTCACGAATGGCTTTAGTTTAGAATTTTGACTATAGGCACGAACGGGGTTTTTAAAAATACATTTATTCTAGCTCTTTAAACCTGGGCTATATTACCAAGCTACACCCTCAGGATGCACTTTCAATGTACTTTTATGAACTTTTAAAATAAATCCTGCCATTCACTTTTAACTATACCAATTCTTGTACATTGTGTTGGGGGTGGGGGTTAAAAGCCCTAATGACCGAAACCACTTTAAACCTATCCCAATCTGTCTGCAGCCCTCTTTTTGCACTTCTGAATTCAGTGGGATGTCCTAACAACTTCCTGTTGATACTACCATTCCGCAGTCCCTACAGTGGAGGTGGGGGGAGAGGAAGAGGGCAGGCAGGGAGGAAGGTGGCTGAAAATGGTGTTAAAAGTTTATTCCAAATCACTGATCCCAAGAAGCTGTTTTCTTCGTTAAATTGAATCCAGGCTATTTTTATGTCAGCTTAGTGCTTAACAGCTATAATCCAGACGTCCGTCCTCCCACCACCCGGGACTTGTTTCCATGAGGTGGTTGAGTGATTTGGGGTGGATTTTGGAAGGGGCAATTTGTTAAACATCCAAACCTTGTAAAAAGCATGCTCTTCCTGCCACCGGTTCCCAAAGTTACAAAAATAGAGATCATTATCAGCAGGTTGGCTGGCAGGAGCAGAGAGATTCAAACACTCTTAACAACCTCAAATAATGGTTGCTCCTCTCAGGCACAACTTTTTCAATACCCAACCCTGAACAACTTTGAGCTCAGGAGTGGGGACAAGAGGAAGACAAACAGGTCCCCACCACGCAGAGCTAACACAGAAATTGCTTGTGAATAGAAACAGGGAGGGAGAGGGGATTCTGAGTGATGAAATCCACAAGCTGCCTCCATGAAATCAATTATTGTTTGAGAAAGTTGCCACCTCCCTAAGGAAAAGGAGTTGATTCTAACACTCCAACCTCCGGGAATCCGAAGACTGAATTAATTCCGTTCTATGTGCCAACTGTTTCTGACCTAGAGATGCTGGGTGCCCTCCCAAGCCGACCACACCTGTGCATATTTCCTTGAAAGCCATCCCCCCAGACTGCTCACCTGGTATCCTTTGACTTTGCAAACACTGAAAAACTGTGGGCGCTGTTCTCCCAATACAAGCTGAAAAGACCAGCCCTGTGCGGATGGCAGCCTGTCCTGATGGGACCAGCAACCTAAGACTGTATCCTTACGGGGCGCCTGGGTGGCTCAGTGGGTTGAAGCCTTTGCCTTCAGCTCGGGTCATGATTCCAGGGTCCTAGGATCAAGCCTTCCGTCAGGCTCTCTGCTCAGCAGGGAGCCTGCTTCCCTTCCTCTCTGCCTGCCTCTGCCTACTTGTGATCTCTGTCAAATAAATAAAATCTTAAAAAAAAAAAAAAAAGACTGTATCCTTACTCACTTTAGATCAGTAACTCCAAAAACAAGAATGGTGACACATGGAAGTCACACTGGTGGGAATGGCATTACTTGACAGCCACACAAACCTAGAATTTTCAGCGCAGGAAAGGCTGGAGAGGGTTCCCTTCCCCTTCTCACAAAGAGGGGGACACTAAGGCCCAGGGGTTCATAGCCACCTGCTTTAGGTCACACTGCTAGTCGATGACCAAAAAAAGAGAGCCCTGCCGTCAGGATTCCTATGTGGCCCCTTTCGTTCCCCCATTTTCCCCTCCCCAAGCCACGAATTTCAGAATATGTGTAATTTTAGACACCCCCCACCCCCACACCCGTGGTTGACTAATAACAGGGTCAGCACTAAGAGAGTCCTCATGGGAGTTGTAACAGCAAAAGCAGTCACACTGAGAACACAAATAGAATCTGATAATTTAGGGAAGGTGTATTATTTTGTTTTCAGCCCCAAACCAGCCAAGTTCCTGGAGGGGTGAACATCGAGGGCCATCTGGTTGAATCAAGTGTGGGAAGTGTAAATGAAGGTTCTTTCCAGGGCAAGGAGGGAGAAGGAAGCGCCCTGGGCCGGCGGGTACTCACCAGCGCTCCTCCCGCAGGTAATGGACCGAAGGAGGCACCCAGGCGGAGCTCAGCCTCCGCGGCCCGAATATATATAGCGAAGGTGTTGCGCAAAGAGGCCGGCGGCAGCGGCTGTCATCACGCCCCTCGCACATTCCAGGACCGCCTGCCGCCGCCGGGGCACTGCCTACCTGCCGGTTTAATGAGCCCATCGTGACCTCGCCCCGCTTCGGAGGAAAGCCAGGCGCCCAGACTGCGGGAGAACCTCACTTGGCCCGCGTCCTGAAAGCAGCGCTAGTCCCGCGCGCCCTGCCCCCACCCCCGCCCCAGCGCGGGCCGCACAGCCCAGCAAGTGGGGGCTCGCCGGGCTCCCCCCACCGCCGGCCGCGGCCCCACAATCCCACCCCGTCCCCTGCTCTTTGCAAGACCCTGAATCTTCTAGTTTAGCTCCTGTGAGGCTGAAGAGGTCAGAGACGTTGAGACACAGATAAAAGTCAACTGGAAACTCAGGGACAAATCCTTCCAAAACAAAGCCAGGATTGTTCGGCCTTATCAGTCTTTGGGGTGCTTTCTGCCCTCCTAGCCTGGACTCTGCAGTTAAGACACTTGGCCAGCTGGAGCCCTGGGTCTGCCACGGGGCTGGGCTGGATTAGCCAGGCTGAGCAAGGGGAGAGGGGCTGATCTTAGCTCTAGACTGGTGCCCCTGACAGTTCATCTGGGCTTTGGCAAACCATGTCCCTAATTTCACCCTCTTCTGACTTGTGTACTCCCCATGTGGCCCCACAGCTTTGTCTGGCTGTGAGAGGACCTGTCCCAGGGAGAGCCTATCATGGCACTTACCCTAAGAGCTACCCAGTTAGGTGAGGGCTGACCCCCGATGATCACACAAACCCCTTCCCAGGAGGGACAGTAGCTTCCTTTCTAGTGGAGGCTTCTGGAAGTGTTAGGGGGCATGGCACAGCGTTACTCAGGTTTGCTAAGCGGAGATCAAACCTCGATCTTATTGCAAAACCTCGATCTTATTGCAAAACCCAGGCCCCTTCCCTCCGCCACATAATCCTGGTTTTACAGTGAAGGTAAGCGAGGCTCAGTTTACCAGTAGCCCTGCTGCACACAGAGGAAGTGTGGAAGGGCCCATGGGTTTAATCCCCAAACCAAGAGCCCTCTCCTCCCTGGGGAGGAGGAAATCAGCAGTGCCACTTCCTAGAACCCACTGAGAAGGACTGTCCCCGGGGTTGAGAAGTCGGTGGTTATGTACACTTAACTCTGGTTGGTCAAAGTGCCTAAGCCCAGTTTCCGGTTCTACCCTTTGCTCTCCCTGACTTCATGTGCTGCTGTGTAGAATGGGAATAATGTCCCGATCAGAGTAAAATCAGCTAAAATATTTAGAGCATATAGCACAGTCCCCGATGAGCACGAGAAGCACTCAGTACATATTAACCAGTGTAGTTTTCACCAGGAACCTCCGGTGTTAGAAGACTGAGCGGGAAGCTTTGATTAGTCTCATCGGGAACCTCAGGACTGAGGTTACTTCTCCTCAGCCTCAGACGCTAGCTAGGCACATCAGTCCAGGGGTCAGGACTCAGTGCTTGGAGAGTGGGCAGAGAAATCAAATCAGCCCTGGGGCTGTTCTTACTCGAGGGATAATGGTTTTGCTAGTGGGTGCCAGACTTCAAAGCTAGTCCTTGGAGGCAGTGACCAACCAGCAAGTCTCCTCCGGGTGACTTCCAAAGCAGAGTCTTCTGGCGATGGTGGTCCATTGGCCCGTGTTCACGGAGCTCAGCTCCTCCTCCAGCCCTGGCCAGGCAGGCTGCAGACACCATCTCAGGGGCTCTCGGGGGCGGCCTTGGGCATCCATCCCAACAAGCCTCCCGTGACCAATAATGGTGGGCTTTGCTGTGGGGCACAGGGCTAAGCACGGTCATGTTGCCTTTCTGTCACTCCCAACGAGGAGCAAATAGATAAAATTAAAAAAAAAAAAAAAAAAAAAAAACACTGAAAAGGGAAAGGTTTCCCTTTTCTATTCTAATTGAAAAGGAAAATGCTGGTTCAATCAGGAGGCTTTCTTTTCATGTGTATGCATCCTGGTAATTGATGAGGGATAATATCTATTTGATTCTAGTTTGGGATTATCGTTTTCCTATTTTTCCATAAAGTCCAGAAGAAATCTAGATGCTGTGTGTATGTGTCACTCCTGAATCCCTCCCTTTAGGGGAGCACAGTTTGCTATGGGGTGTTTTCCCATTTTCATCCCACCTCAGATACAACTCAGTATCATGCTTAAGAAGAACCTACGCATACTTTGCACACTTTGCACGGTCCCTGTTTACACACAAACTTCTAAAAGTACTTTCATTGAGTGCTTTCTGTGCCTGCTATTGCCCAGTAAGGTAACACTGATTGGATTAAATGTATCAATGCAAGATCGAGGCCCACCCAGAGTCTTACCTGAGGCTACAAAACTCTGTGCTAATAATAGAGGCCCACAATCCTTGTTGAGCCTTGGGGCCCAGGTGCTTCAGAATTCAGAACTTTCCAGTTGGGGAAAGTAAGATGAGAGACACTCTCTGGGGCCTGGGCAGCACCTTGCAATCAAACCTTCTGATATCTTTTTCTGTAAAGATGTCCGAATAGTATACTACACAGCACGACTTTGATCTATTCGTTCAGATTAGGGTTTGGCTTGACAGGAGTTTTTACCTTGCAGACTAAAGACTTTTGTGACTGCTCTGTACTGAGCACTTACCCAAGTCCTGTTCTGAATACTGTACATATATGAAGTCATTAGTCCTTCTACTAGGAGGAGCAAGGTCTAGAGGCCGGGAAACGGGGCCCCAGAGAAGCGGAAATAACTCTCCCCCATGTGGCAGGACTGCTCCTAGTTGACAGGGTTCAAGTCCTAATCCAGTTACCAATTCCACCCACATTAACCAGCAAGCATTTTCACTAATTTCCTATCTCCTTTTCCTTCTAGGGATGTTTGGTTGCCCAAAGAACGGGTATGAGCAGAAAGCATAGAGAGTTCGGGAACACATATGTACATTAGATTTGTAGCCATATCTTCTTAGAGCAGCAGGGTGAAGATGACCCACGACAAATGCAGACCCAATCAGCAACAGATCGGACCTGACCCTCTCCCGGACACCCTACACACCCAAGCGTTTATCTAAATGTAAAAGCCAAAATAATTGGGACTTCTAGAAAACAACATCAACAAATACTCATGAACTCGGGGTGGGGGAAAGACTTCTTAAATAGTGTACAAGATGCATTAACCATAAAGGAAAAGATATTTTTATGACCGTGAAAAGGCCAACCAGAGCAGAGGGAGAGGTCTAGAGCACATAGAACTGACCAAGAGCTTATTTCAGAATATGTAAAGAGTGTTCAGATATCAAGAAAAAAAAAATCTAATTTAAAAAATGTTCCAGGGACTGGAACAGGCCCTTCACAAATGAGGATAATTCATAAACACATTAAAGGTGCTCTGTATCACAACTGAAGGAAATGGGAGAATTAAACCGCCATTAGATTTAAACCCAGTGTCTACACCTCCAATCCCAGACATATGCCCAAGAGACATGGACACATATGTTCCCCAAAAGACAAAGTCACCCAAATTTGTCCTCAGCAGCACAGTGCACGAAACAGCCCAGAAGCCCACCTCCATTAATAGGATGGCATATTAACCAAAAAATGTTCCTACAATGTAATACTATTAGGAAATTGCCATTTGGGGCATCAAAAGTGGCCAGATAACCCAGGATGAAAATGAACCACTTGTTACATGGAAGGAAATGGATAGGTGTTCTCACAAAGGTAGCCGCTTAAGTTAGAGAAACCAGACATAAGGGTTCACACTGTTGGATTCTGCGTGTATGAAACTCCCGGAACCGGCCCAAACGTAAATCTTAGTGAGAGACTATGGACTCTGAAAAACAATCTGAGGGTTTTGAAGGGGCACAGGGTGGGAGGTTGGGGGAACCAGGTGGTGGGTATTGGAGAGGGCACGGATTGCATGGAGCACTGGGTGTGGTGCAGAAACAATGAATACTGTTACGCTGAAAAGAAATTAAAAAAAAAAAAAGTTAAAAAAAAAGAAAAAAAATCTTAGTGCTCAGGAATGCATGCTTAACTGGTATTACTGAGGAAAAAAGCAAGGATTTACCATAGAAGTCACGTGAGGGTCACTGTGTTGGGAAGGAGGGGGTAAGACTGAGGGAGGATGCTGGAATTTCTGAGGCGTTGACAATGGGTTGTGGTCATTTGCTTTGTGATAAAACCTTGAGCTGTACTAATCCTAGGTTTTTTCCTTTCCTGTGACTATCTCACAATTAAAAAGCTTAAAAACACACACACAAAAAACCCCTGGTGGTCCTGGGGAGGGGTCCAGGAAAGAGATCTGGCTCTGGGTTCTATCAGGGACTTTGAAATCCTTTGAAGGGAGGTTTGAGCCACTGACTGTCCACGTCCTTGAAGTATGTACTATGATCGTCCGCATCTCTGGCACTTGGAAGGATAGCTGCTTCTGTCCCAGATGTTTCACCAGTTATGTGATCCACTTTTAAAACAGAACGCACACGGACTTTGCCTGCCAGCACCAAATGGACTCCAACAGCCTCCCGATGACCTTCTTTTGCAAAACCTAGTGACCGTCTCTTTATTTCTGAAGCACCTCAGAGCTATTTTTCTACCTGAAACAGGCCCAGACAGCTAAATTTTCTATTTTTCCCGTGTGTGTGCGGGCGTGCATGTGTCTGGGGAGGGTTTTGGTGATTTTTTTTTTAGTCCTTGTTTGCACGGTATTAGCAGTTAGGTCTGAGTTGTCTCTCTGAGCACACGTAGCAGGAACCGCCTGTGTTATCGTTATCAGAAGCCATCATTATATTGCTATTTCTAACCTGTTGGGGATTAAGAAAACAGCTCACCTCATTCATTTATCCATTTAATTAATGGTCATTAAAACTGTGTAAAGCAAGAGGGAAAGGTCTAATGGGCCTATTTCTGTGCATCTTTTTACTGCCCAGGCTTAACACCGCTTTAGCTAATCAGAAAACAT